GACTGATCGACTCCATGCCACGCCGCATTGCTGCAGTAATACAGGCCAAAGGAGGCCCAACTAAATACTGAGTGCTGTACATGCTCATACTTTTCATGTTCATACTTTTCAGTTGGCCAACATTTCTATAAATCCTGTTTTTATTGGTCTTCAGTAATATTCTAATTTTCTGATATGATGAATTTGAGATTTTCATTTGTTGTCATTTGTAATCATCAAAATTAAACAAAATAAACATCTGAAATATATGAGTTTGTATGTAATGTATGAATATAATATACAAGTTTAACTTTTTAAATGGAATTACTGAAATCAATCTACTTTTTCATGATATTCTAATTTTATGACCAGCACCTGTAATTGTTGTTGATTGCAGATGTGTCTAGTAGTTCCCATTGATTTAGCTTGGAAAGCGGGGAGAATGGCGCTAGGCTTACCGCACCGTGACGTCACTGCTGGAAGATGGCAGGAGGGAGGGGCTACTATATTTGGGCTAAAATGGCCGCTCCCAGACTCAGTTTTTTTTTACTGATTAAGGCTAAATTCATTTAATCACTGCGAACGTTTTAGCTTTAGGTATAAATGAGGATCCATTGATTATTCCTCGCTGACCGAACTTTAACTTTAAACACCTATATCCACGTGATCATCAGATCAAATATTGATCATCATTCAGACTGATGGTAGGAAATATTTATATTAGACTTAGATTTATTTTGTCATGTTGTTTATACAAAATTAATTTCGTTTACATCTCTCTAGACAGTTTCATATTTTTAAAGTGCAGCCTTGATAAGGTAAGCAGCACTCATAAAAAAAAACATTTTTATATTAAGTCACTATATCTAGTTATAGAAATTCATTCATTCATGTTTGCAGTGATGTCAGATGGATCATCCATCAGAAGGATGGACGAAAGGTAATGTTGTTAAACCAGTGTATAATAGGGGAGGTATGCATGTACAGTACCGGCTGTTTGCAACCAGCCATCATGAGGAAGAAGAAGATTGAACCGTTTGCAAAGAAATGGAAAATAATAACAGTATTGAGGCAAAACAAAAACATTAACTTCTTAAAGTAAAACTTCAAAACAAAAGGAAAAAATTACAACTGTAAAGATCTTAAAAAGTCAACAAATACAAAATGTTTAAAGTCGTAGGGAAATCATCAAAGAAATCATTCTTTATCAGACCATATTGTCGCAAAAGTTAGAAAATTTCTCTTAAAAAAAAAAAATCCTGTCTTAAAATCTGTGGGGTTTTTTTCCGTTATCTTCTGCAGGCCAGTTAGTTCTATGTCAGCCTGAACACCTAAATTTGGCCAATCAGATATCAACAATCATCTGTCAACGGTCATAGCATCTTGATTCATTTGTCGCAGCTAATATACGCAACGGTGTAAATCAGAATCTTTGCAGAGTAGTGGTGACTGTTACAGGTGTATAGGTGGAGAGGGAATTTTTGCCTGTTTCTTAATTCACAAGACGGGCTAATGTTAGCCTTGGCCGCTGCAGACTGGCTAATGTTAGCCTTGGCCGCTGCAGACTGGCTAATGTTAGCCTTGGCCGCTGCAGACGGGCTAATGTTAGCCTTGGCCGCTGCAGACTGGCTAATGTTAGCCTTGGCCGCTGCAGACTGGCTAATGTTAGCCTTGGCCGCTGCAGACTGGCTAATGTTAGCCTTGGCCGCTGCAGACTGGCTAATGTTAGCCTTGGCCGCTGCAGACGGGCTAATGTTAGCCTTGGCCGCTGCAGACTGGCTAATGTTAGCCTTGGCCGCTGCAGACTGGCTAATGTTAGCCTTGGCCGCTGCAGACTGGCTAATGTTAGCCTTGGCCGCTGCAGACTGGCTAATGTTAGCCTTGGCCGCTGCAGACTGGCTAATGTTAGCCTTGGCCGCTGCAGACGGGCTAATGTTAGCCTTGGCCGCTGCAGACTGGCTAATGTTAGCCTTGGCCGCTGCAGACTGGCTAATGTTAGCCTTGGCCGCTGCAGACTGGCTAATGTTAGCCTTGGCCGCTGCAGACGGGCTAATGTTAGCCTTGGCCGCTGCAGACTGGCTAATGTTAGCCTTGGCCGCTGCAGACTGGCTAATGTTAGCCTTGGCCGCTGCAGACTGGCTAATGTTAGCCTTGGCCGCTGCAGACTGGCTAATGTTAGCCTTGGCCGCTGCAGACGGGCTAATGTTAGCCTTGGCCGCTGCAGACTGGCTAATGTTAGCCTTGGCCGCTGCAGACTGGCTAATGTTAGCCTTGGCCGCTGCAGACTGGCTAATGTTAGCCTTGGCCGCTGCAGACTCTTTATCTTTATCAGACCAAAATGTTGAAAAAAAATTAGATTTTAAGACAGATATCCTGTCTTAAAATCTGTGTTTTTTTCATTATCTTCTGCAGGCCAGTTAGTTCTTCGTCAGCCTGAACACATAAATTCGGCCAATCATATATCAACGCTCATCTGTCAATCAAATGTTTTCGGTCATAGCATCTTGATTCATGTGTCGCAGCTAATATACGCAACGGTTGAAATCAGAATCCTTTCCTTTCCCATTGAGTTGCGTCCCAGTGTTCACGGGGATGGACGTCTGTGTCTTCGGCAGGCGTAGAGCTAACAGAACTGGCAGCGTTGCGAGGCAAGGGCTCAAACATGTACGGCTGGAAGCCTTCTACACCAAACCAAGCTTCTGCCGCCCTGGCGTCCTCTTCCACAACATCTTCGTCCCCGCTTTCCTCCTCTAAATAAAAAATGGATGACGGAGGAGACTCATCCACGACCTCCGACACTAAACTCTCCTCCTCTTGCATGTTTCCGCTGTCCATAGCGTTCCTTGACAGCGTCGTTTCTAAGTCACCAATTTAGTGCTACTTGGTCCCAATGGAATTTCCCATTGCGAACCTACTAGCACTAAGTTGCTAACTGGTTAGCAATTTAGTGCTAGCAGGTTCCCAATGGAATTTCCCATTGGGAACCTGCTAGCATTAAGTTGCTAACTGGTTAGCAGTTTAGTGCTATTTGGTCCCAATGGAATTTCCCATTGGGAACCTGCTAGCATTAAGTTGCTAACTGGTTAGCAGTTTAGTGCTTCTTGGTCCCAATGGAATTTCCCATTGGGAACCTGCTAGCATTAAGTTGCTAACTGGTTAGCAGTTTAGTGCTACTTGGTCCCAATGGAATTTCCCATTGGGAACCTGCTAGCATTAAGTTGCTAACTGGTTAGCAGTTTAGTGCTTCTTGGTCCCAATGGAATTTCCCATTGGGAACCTGCTAGCACTAAGTTGCTAACTGGTTAGCGAGATGCTTCCAACAAGCCGGCCACAACCAAACTTGCCTGCAAACCTTCCGCCACAACAATCCCGCCCCCTTGATAATCGGCCAATCAAAATGTATTCACTCGTGTAAAGTCGGGCACCACTGGGAGAATTCGGAAATGCAACGGTTGGATTGGCCGCTTCCCTACGACTTTAAAGTTATTTATGTTTGGAGAAGGAGGAGTCTGGTTCGTGTTTTTCTATAATCACACAAATTAAAGGAGGTCAGCTCAATTAGGAAGCTCTGGTAGCTCTTAGAGAAAAATGTGAAATAGAGAGTGATCTGCAGGGGCCAAAACAGGGGCCAGCATCCCTGGAGAGCTGATCCTGGCCCCTGCTTTGGCCCCTGTATTTAAAACATACACTACAAAAAATGGACTTATAAGTCTATTTTCTTGAAAAGGGGTGTATTTTGCATCAATTTAAGCGGGTAAGACAATTTACCAATCTAATAAGATGATTTCAGTTTAAATTAAAAGAAAAAAAGAAAAAAATCCATCCATCTTCTTATTTCAAGCTGTTTTTTTTCAAGTTATCTTATTTTGACGGGAAAAATAAAATTTTCTTTGGACATCACCTTATTTACCCGCTCATTTTAAGATGTTTTTACATTTTAGATGACTTTCTGCTGTGTTATACGAAATAACTCATGATTATATCCATTGACTTTCTGTTATGATTAAAACCATAATAAGATACAAGCATTAAAAAAAAGGGCCCCGCCCTGGCTCCTCCAGTAAACTTTTACTAGAACCACCACTGTTTTTAGCCACTGCTGTGTGAGCAGAACCGGAGCACAGGGCCATAAAAGTAGGCGGGGTCTAATGAACAGTGCTTCATATCAGCAGGATGGATCAGTGTCATCATGTTGGGAAACACGGAGCGACGAATCCATCATAAAGGAAAAGAGAAGCCGTCACAGGAGCAGAGAGATTGTTTGGACAAAGTTCTTCCATCTATGTGGATAAAAACCTTCAAATCTGTTTAATATTTCAACATTAAAATCATAAAACAGAATGCTGTTCATTGTCTACATTCTTTTTTTTTTATATTGATCTCAATTTTACATAAAGTTACATATAAAAATCAAAAATATTCGAATTAAAGTACAGGACAAGGGGCCTGTTCTAGGATATATATGCTTATCTAGTGACTATGGACAATCACGTACTTTTCAAGTTGAATCATGGGAAATTTTGAGTCCACGACTTTTTTCATCCATTAGACATTCAGACACTCATAAAATGGCCTGACCTAAAGTAACAGGGTCTTAGAAAGGTTCCCGCTTGGACTTTATAGTAAATATGAGAAAGTGCACCTAAGTACCTCTAATAGGGTAAAGTCCTAGTCCTGATATTGAGGAATTTGATGTTTTTATTTGCAAAGAGTGGAATCTACATCGCTGCCATTTAAAAAGTGTAAATTATCCTTAGCCTGACTATCGATTGATTCCTGTTTCTGTTTTAGGATGCCTCTGCTGTGGCATTTATTCTACTGCATACAATGGAGTCTCTGCTTAAGAATTAACAGTGGCACACTCTAGTGGACTGTGTTAACATTACAACATGGACATGTTTTAAGTCAACGTCATTAATTAATCGGATTAAAGAAAACTCCACCTAATGAAACAATTGATGGAAAGACTGTTATTTGTTTAAATCCCTAGATGAGAAACTGACCATATAACATGCATTTAAATTACACAGCTTTATTTCATTGCTGCTTAACATACAGATGAGCAGAATATCAAAGAACTGTCTATGCACACACGTTTATCCCATCATTGACCTTTTCCTCCCTCTCAGTCGTACTTCATCAAGCTTTTTAATGACAGCTGAGGAATTCTTAGATGCTGCCATGTAGCTTTTTAGCAGCTTCTCAAACAATACATCCGAGTTGGGGTGAGTACTTAGGAAAGCCTTCTCCAGAACAAACAAATCAACCCCCTTATCCTCAGTCAAAGCTGAAATGTAACTCAAACCAAAGTCAATGAGCACAAGCTCAGGTTCAGTGTCCTCTGGACAACCCCTCAGAAGCATGTTTGAGGTGGTCAGGTCACCATGGATGACATTTTCATCGTGCATTTTTGCCAAAACCTGGCCAATTCGCTCAGCTAGCTTATGCAGACCTGGGTCCACACTGGGGTTTGATTGGTAAAGAGAGTTGATGTGGTCACGCAGAGTCGAGGAACCAACAATTTCCTCCAAGAAGATGCAGTGGTACTTGTAATCCACAAAATATACAACTGGAGCTGAGATGCCTGGGGAGGGGGGAAAAAAAGGGTTAGGTTAGTAAAAAAATAAACAAAAAAACAACAAAACTACTCTAGTGTAAAGGAAAACTATTTTGCACAATTATCATGGTCTAACCAGATTAACATAGTTTAAACAGACTGCATTTAGTAGCTGTTTGTTTCACTGCTAAGACACAACACACAAATACAGATTTTATATTATATATATCTCAAAAAATTAAAGGAACACTTTGTAATCAGAGTATAGCATCAATTTAATTAAACTTCTGGGATATTTAACTGGTAAGTTAAGTAGCAGAGGGGGTTGTTAATCAGTGTCAGCTGCTTTGGTGTTAATGAAAGTTAGAGGCGCAACAACGAGACGACCATCGAAACAGGAATGAATTTACAGATGGAGGAGACTGACATTTTCCCCTCCTCATCTTTTCTGACTCCTTTTCACCAGTTTAGCATTTGGCTAGGGTCGCTGTCACTACTGTTAGCATGAGTATGGGAGAATTATCCTGCCATAATGCAAGAGCACATAATTTCAATTTGAGAAAAGAATTTCATCTTCTTGCACTCAAAACTTATAATGCTCACACTCCAAACATGCGCTCTCTCTCAAATATTTTCTCTTCTCTCTCAAATCTTTGTTTCTTCTCTCAGATTTAATGCTTCTTGCACAGATATTTTCTCCTCTCGCTTGCCTCCTTCTCTTCGCGCACAAACCGCGCTCTGCTGGATGTAATGTAATGTAAATATTTCCATATAAAAATTAATTAAAAAAATATATAAAAAATGTAAAAAGGCGTAACTTTTGAAGACGATGGAGTACTATGATCCAACAGTGATTTTGAGTCAATTGATCACATTACCTGGAAGCTATTGAGCAAAAAAGCTAATATTTCTATTAGGGATGCACGATATTGGGATTTTGGCCGATATCCGATATTTTAAAACTCATGTAGCCGATAGCCGATATCGATACCGATGTTAAAGCTGGACAAAAATAAGTAGTCATTGAAAATAGCAGTTTTGTTATCCATTTCTGACACTTTGAAAAATAATAAACTCAAATATATTTTCATATGCTGATATCAAATAGATTTTTAAAAACGCGGTATCGATCTATTTTACTTTCAAAATCTGGTGAAATTTCATCGTTCTGTTACAAACTCTCGTGATATTTTGCAAATTCTTGTGAGATTTTGTTAGTAAATTAGATCGATACCGCGTCAATATATCAACATATAAAAATATGGCAACATTTGGTGAATTTTCGGGGGATTTCGTAGCATAACGATGACATATAGCAATATTTCATTAGTAAAAGAGATTGATATGGTGTTTTTAAATGGCAATATATCAGCATATGAAGATATTGGGATATTTTAATGGATCAATATTTTTTCCCTCGTCTTTAGAAGTTTTTAAGTCTGTAAAAAAGACGTTTTTGAGGAAGAAGAAGAAGTAGTATTTTTTTATTTTTAGACTTTAGAAACTCAGAAGTTTCTAAAGTTTCTATTTGTTATGCACTCAACATCTAGGTCCCTTGTTTCTATAGGTTATCAAACACATTTGCAAAAACCCACCAAAAATATGGATTTATGAAGGAAAACTAGTTATTCATCATCACCTTCTAAAGATCCACCCGCAAGATGAGGATTAGCTGTTACAACGATTGCATGTAGAGCAGTGCCATGTCAGATATACACTCACCGGCCACTTTATTAGGTACACCTGTCCAACTGCTCGTTAACACTTAATTTCTAAGCAGCCAATCACATGGCGGCAACTCAGTGCATTTAGGCATGTAGACATGGTCAAGACAATCTCCTGCAGTTCAAAGCGAGCATCAGTATGGGGAAGAAAGGTGATTTGAGTGACTTTGAACGTGGCATGATTGTTGGTGCCAGAAGGGCTGGTCTGAGTATTTCAGAAACTGCTGATCTACTGGGATTTTCACGCACAACCATCTCTAGGGTTTACAGAGAATGGTCCGAAAAAGAAAAAACATCCAGTGAGCGGCAGTTCTGTGGGCGGAAATGCCTTGTTGATGCCAGAGGTCAGAGGAGAATGGCCAGACTGGTTGGAGCTGATAGAAGGGCAACAGTGACTCAAATAACCACCCGTTACAACCAAGGTGGGCAGAAGAGCATCTCTGAACGCACAGTACGTGGAACTTTGAGGCAGATGGGCTACAGCAGCAGAAGACCACACCGGGTGCCACTCCTTTCAGCTAAGAACAGGAAACTGAGGCTACAATTTGCACAAGCTCATGGAAATTGGACAATAGAAGATTGGAAAAACGTTGCCTGGTCTCATGAGTCTCGATTTCTGCTGCGACATTCGGATGGTAGGGTCAGAATTTGGCGTCTACAACATGAAAGCATGGATCCATCCTGCCTTGTATCAACGGTTCAGGCTGGCGGTGGTGGTGTCATGGTGTGGGGAATATTTTCTTGGCACTCTTTGGGCCCCTTGGTACCAATTGAGCATCGTTGCAACGCCACAGCCTACCTGAGTATTGTTGCTGACCATGTCCATCCCTTTATGACCACAATGTACCCAACTTCTGATGGCTACTTTCAGCAGGATAATGCGCCATGTCATAAAGCTGGAATCATGTCAGACTGGTGTCTTGAACATGACAATGAGTTCACTGTACTCAAATGGCCTCCACAGTCACCAGATCTCAATCCAATAGAGCATCTTTGGGATGTGGTGGAACGGGAGATTCGCATCATGGATGTGCAGCCGACAAATCTGCGGCAACTGTGTGACGCCATCATGTCAATATGGACCAAACTCCCTGAGGAATGCTTCCAGCACCTTGTTGAATCTATGCCACCAAGAATTGAGGCAGTTCTGAAGGCAAAAGGGGGTCCAACCCGTTACTAGCATGGGGTACCTAATAAAGTGGGCGGTGAGTGTACATCAGCTTGTCATTAGTTAGACATGTAGAACAAGGATAAGAGTGTCCTTGTCTAATTTCAAGGCTAGGCTTAAATCTTTCCTTTTAATAAAGCTGATAGTTATCTCCACTGTAATGCTGCTATAGGCTTAGACTGCTGGAGGACATAGGGACCCCTTTTACTCATTCTGCTTCATTCTATCTCTATTCTCCCACTCTTTTGCATTTCTTAGTTTAATCTCTAATGTTATAGTCTTGATGCTTTTTCTCATCATAGTAGCTTCATCTGGTCTGTTCCTTTTCAGGTGTGACTCCATCTTGGAGAAAATATCAGCTGTGCTGCTGCCATCAACACCCTTGTTTATAGACGTCAGTTGACAGTTGCCTTTTGTATCTCGCCTTCTTTCTGTATGTAATATAATGTTAATCTGTTTCCCTAAAAAAACAAAAAAACACTTTATTAAGACATTTATATAAAAACATCACCTTATTTGCTCAATAACTTCCAGGTCATGTGATCAGTTGACTCAAAATCTGTGTTGGATCATAGTACTCCATTGTCTTCAAAAGTTACGCCTTTTATTTTTACATTTTAAGTTTTAAATATTTTTTTTTATTAATTTTTACAGGGAAATATTAGCATTTTGGCTCAATAGGTTTCAGGTAATGTGATCCTTTGACCCAAAATCTGTGTTGGATCATAGCACTCCATCGTCTTCTAAAGTTATGCCTTTTATTTTTACATTTCAAACCTTTAATGTCTATTTTTATCAAACTTTCATGTGAAAATATTAGCCTTTTTGCTTAACCGCTACCAGGTCATGTGATCAATAGACTCAAAGTTAGTGTTGGATCATAGCTCTCCACTGAATTCAAGAGTAACACTTTTTATTTTGTGCATTTCAAGTCTCTTATAATAGTTTCCATGTGCAGACATTAGCAGTTTTGCTGATGATGGATTGACACCAAATCTATAAGAAATAATAGTACTAGACTGGTTACAATATACAGATTCAATTGTTGACTTGATTTGACCAACATCCCAGCAAACACGTCCAGGTGGGGCCCATATGGGCTTCAGCTGGGCTCTGTTGCTGGGACCCATGTGGGCAGTAGATGGGCAATAGGTGTGCTCTAGCTGGGCACAGTTTACAAATTCAAAATGGTCAAATCGACGGTATATAACAACAGCCACTGAAAGGTCTCCTTTTTTATGCTATTTTATTTATTTATTTTTAAGGAGTAAAAATCTTTAATCCCACACTAATCCAGCCTACTTAAATGATACATTTATAAATCATTTAAATAATTGTAATTTAAATCACTTCATAACCCCCCTTTCAGTGAAGCGGCTGAAGATTTTGATCTCAAAATTTTACTGAGATAAGAGATCAATATGTTTCATAATAAAGCGGCCCTGATCTACGGAAGAGGATTAGGGCCACTGAAAAAAAAAAAAAAGTTAACAGATTTTTTTTATTTTATTTCAGTATAGTATGGGAAAAAAGTCAGAATTCTGACTTTAATCTCAGAATTCTGACTTTTTTCCCATGTTAAACTGAAATAAAATTTAAAAATCAGTTAACTTTTTTTTTTTTCCCAGTGGCCCTAATCCTCTTCCGTACTGATCAGTATTTCATATTCTAGAAGTTTTTTATGTCTCTTCCTTTATTGTTTTCACACAGGTGAATTCTACTTTCATATTGATACACTGGAATTAATGTAAAACCAAATAATATGTGCTTTGTTATTTTAATATTTGATGTATAGCTGAATGATTTTGTACACTCTTCATTTAGTTAATTATGTTCTAACATCACCACGCTGTGGATTAAGTAGCTTTTAAAAGCTTTTTTAAAAAAAAAACATGTTTTGCTATGATGTCTTGCAAACGAAGGATGCTAAGAATTTAGTATTTCATTAATTGTGGCCTTTAACAAACTTTAGAACGGGAAAAATAAATTACCACAATTCTCAATTCAGCCACTAGGGGGCAGTGAACACGAAACAGGGGAACGTTTATAATGTTCACATTTTAATAATTTCACAACTAAATTAGTGTCTGGAAAATCACTCAAGCTAACTAAACAAATAGGAAAATGGTCTGAAACAGAACTAAACCGTGGAGCGTCCAGAACCATCCAGTAGTCTTAATAACAAAACAAGAGTCAATAATGGCGGAAAATAAGCGTCAATAACCCCCGAACAGACCACTGCATTGAGGAACGACTATCCAAACCTCGGTTCTCTGTTACAAACCCTGTATTGAACAGTTAAAATACAGAACCACTGAGTAAATATATGTCCATCTTCCTAATCAAGCTAAAAATAGCTTGTTAAACATGAATGGCATACCTGCTCGTCGGCATCGCAGGATGGAGCGGACCTCGTGAACTGTTCTCCGGTAGTTTAACTGGTCGTGCAGCTCTGGGTGTCTGTAGCGTTTAGGAAACCTCTCTTTGATGATTGTTGGCTTTCCCAAAAACTCTCCCCGATACACACGAGCCTCGGCGCCTTGCTTTATCAACTCCGCCCTACACAGAAACTGCTGGACCGCCATGTCTTCTTCTTCTTCTTCTTCTTCTTCTTCTTCTTCTTCTTCTTCTTCTTCTATTGAATTTTCTGGCAGTTTACATCCTGTGTGCATTGCCGCCATCAACTGGACGGAGATGTAATTCAGAAATATAATGCCTATATATCTTTATATCTTCATGAAACTAAATTCTATCTATACTTACACACACGCACATACACACACTAAATTCTCCCAGCTAATTCTGTATCTTTTAAATATTTAATAAGTGCTTTAATTATCTTATTGATTGATGCTTCCCTAATAAATCAGCCATCTTTACTGAACTCCCCATTACCCTTTCCAGTTCTTTCCTCTCTTTTATATATTTGCTACAATAGATCAACACATGTTCTACTCCTTCGATTTCTCCACAATAACAACAATTACCCGTTGGATCTTTCCCTATTATTTTTAGACCTGCATTTAAACTGGTATGCCCAATCCTTAACCTGTTTATCCATATTTCCTCTCTACTATGGGGTTCCATTTGTATCAAAAATAAAAAGAAGTCATATGTGCAGATGTGTCGTTGCTATGTGTCGTTGGTCTATGTCGTTGGTCTATGTTGCATGTATATGTAGATGTTGCATATGTCTACGTTGCACATGGGTTCGGTGCATATGTGGTTGATGTCGTTGGTCCATGCTGTTGGTTCATGTCGTTGGTCCGTGTGGCTATTGCCTGTTCTCTTCGCCATTAAAAAGTCTTGAAGTAGGTCATGTATGATCATTTTTTTCACTAGATATTACAAAAATGTTGGTCTTTCAATATCAGTGGTTTCAATAAATACTTTTTTCAAAATGCTTAGATTTCTACCTCGTA